TACTAATAAAGTCAGATTTAATCAACAAATACGATAGTCGGTTTAAAAATGGCTAAGGGTACAAGACTGTGTACATATCTGGCTGTGTTGGCTAAATCACTACATCTCCCATCGAGCCAAGCGGGGAGAGGCTGCCCGTTGTCACAGTTCCAAGACCTGTCAGAAACGTCCAGCTAACCCTACGCCAATACTTGGATCCGCATTAAGTAGCAATGATATTCTTCGCCACCGTTGTCTTGTCACACAACAAATAGCTCGAACCAGTCATGACTATTAAACAAAACAACAAATCATTTTCAAGTTTCTTTCAAGCGAATGTCTTAGTTACATGATTGTATAACTAGCAAATGAGTTTTGAAGTTGAGGGTGCAGTATTTATGACGTTTGGCAATGTGAGACGAAAACTCTCTAGTTTAGACAGGAAAAACCGGGGAAAACAAGCTCGGGACAGGATATAGCTTTTTATGCCATAATATCAGGAGCTGGCGTTCGATTAAACAATTCAGACTGAAACGAATACATGTTTTTATTTCACCTTTATTTAACCAGGTAAGCCAGTTGAACAAGTTCTCATTTACAACTGCGACCTGGCCAAGATAAAGCAAAGCAGTGCGATAAAAACAACAACACAGAGTTACATATGGGATAAACAAAACGTACAGTCAATAACACAATAGAAAATATATATACAGTGTGTGCAAATGTAGTAAGTTATGGAGGTAAGGCAATAAATAGGCCATAGTGCAAAATAATTACAATTTAGTATTAACACTGGAGTGATATTGTGCAAAATATGATGTGCAAATAGAGATACTGGGGTGCAAATAGAGATACTGGGGTGCAAATGAGCAAAATAAATAACAATATGGGGATGAGGTAGTTGGGTGGGCTAATTACAGATGCAGTGATCGGTAAGCTGCTCTGACAACTGATGCTTAAAGTTAATGAGGGAGATAAGAGTCTCCAGCTTCAGAGATTTTTGCAGTTCATTCCAGTCATTGGCAGCAGAGAACTGGAAGGAATGGTGGCCAGAGGAGGTGTTGGCTTTGGGGATGACCAGTGAGATATACCTGCTGGAGCGCATACTACGGGTGGGTGTTGCTATTTACATTTTAGTCATTTAGCAGACGCTCTTATCCAGAGCGACTTACAGTTAGTGCATACATAATTTTTTATACCCCCCGATGGGTCTCCCGGTCGCGGCCGGCTACGACAGTGCCTGGATTCGAACCAGGATCTCTAGTGGCACAGCTAGCACTGCGATGCAGTGCCTTAGACCACTGCGCCACTCGGGAGGACATGGTGCTATGGTGACCAATGAGCTAACATAAGGCAGGTATTTGCCTAGCAGTGATTTATAGATGACCTGGAGCCAGTGGGTTTGGCGACTAATATGTAGTGAGGGTCAGCCAACGAGAGCGTGCAGGTCACAATGGTGTGTTGGATATGGGGCTTTGGTGACAAAACAAATGGCACTGTGATAGACTACATCCAATTTGCTGAGTAGAGTGTTGGAGGCTATTTTGTAAATTACATCGCAGAAGTCAAGGATCGGTAGGATAGTCCGTTTTATGAGGGCATGTTTGGCAGCATGAGTGAAGGAGGCTTTGTTGCGAAATAGGAAGCCGATTCTAGATTTAACTTTGGATTGGAGATGCTTAATGTGAGTCTGGAAGGAGAGTTTACGGTCTAACCAGACACCTAGGTATTTGTAGTTGTCCACATATTCTAAGTCAGACCCGCCGAGAGTAGTGATTCTAGTCGGGCGGGCGGGTGCAAGCAGCGTTCGATTGAAGAGCATGCATTTAGTTTTACTAACGTTTAAGAGCAGTTGGAGGCTACGGAAGGAGTGTTGTATGGCGTTGAAGCTCGTTTGGAGGTTTGTTAACACAGTGTCCAATGAAGGGCCAGATGTATACAAAATGGTGTCGTCTGCGTATAGGTGAACCCTGTAGAGACTGCCAGAGGTCCAGACAACAGGCCCTCCGATTTGACACATTGAACTCTATCTGAGAAGTAGTTGGTGAACCAGGCGAGGCAGTCATTTGAGAAACCAAGGCAATTTAGTCTGCCAATAAGAATGTGGTGGTTGACAGAGTCGAAAGCCTTGGCCAGGTCGATGAAGACGGCTGCACAGTACTGTCTCGATCACGGTTATAATATTGTTTAGGACCTTGAGCGTGGCTGAGGTGCACCCATGACCTGCTCGGAATCCAGATTGCATAGCGGAGAAGGTACGGTGGGATTCTAAATGGTCGGTGATCTGTTTGTTAACTTGGCTTTCAAATACTTTCGAAAGGCAGGGCAGGATGGATATAGGTCTGTAACAGTTTGGATCTAGAGTGTCACCCCCTTTGAAGAGGGGGATGACCGTGGCAACTTTCCAATCTCTGGGGATCTCAGACGATACGAAAGAGAGGTTGAACAGGCTAGTAATAGGGGTTGTGACAATTTTGGCGGTTAATTTTTAGAAAGAAAGGGTCCAGATTGTCTAGCCCAGCTGATTTGTAGGGGTCAGAAGACAAAAATTTAAGGAGAGCGAATCGATATACAATTCCGAAATCAGCTGTAACTGTCAATAGTAAAACAAAGCTTAAAACCACGTTTGAGTGAACCTGAATCCAAAAAATGAATGGTGAAGTGACGTCGCTTCCGGACACGGTAGACTCCTCCTCTCACCACACTATTACCATTTTTTTTTTTTTTGATATACTGTATTTCCTTTCTCTAATCACCATTTTTTTACTGTTATTGTTGATGTCGTTATCAAAGCTTCACTTTAGCGACAGTGGCCTTGCCATTCATGCTAATAAAGCTTATCTGAATCAGAATCTGAGAAAGATTACACAGCAAATTCTCCAGTGTTAAATCAAAACTGACAGTGTTAAATTCAACACTGGGCCGGTGTCTGTACGGGTCCACACTTTTGAGTGTTAAATTAATGCTGACGCTGTTACACTTTGTCAGTGTTTGGGAATGAACACTTTCAGTGTTATGCAGTAACACCTCATATAGTATTTTTAACACTAGGATGTGTATATACACTGAGTATACCAAACATTAGGAACAGCTTTGCCCTCAGAACAGCCTTAATTTGTCAGAGAATGGACTCTACAAGGTGTCAAGTGTTCCACAGGGATGCTGGCCCATGTTGACCCCAATGCTTCCCACAGTTGTGTCAAGTTGGCTGGATGTCCTTTGGGTGGTGGACCATTCTTGATACACATGGGAAACTGTTGAGCGTGAAAAACCAGCAGCGTTGCAGTTCTTGACACAAACCGGTGTGCCTGTCACCTAATACCATACCCTGTTCAAAGGCACTTAAGTATTTTGTCTTGCCCATTCACCCTCTGAATGGCACACATACACAATCCATGTCTCAATTGTCTCAAGGCTTAAACATCCTCCTTTAACCTGTTTCCTCCTCTTCATCTACACTGATTGAAGTGGATTTAACAAGTGACATCAATAAGGGATCATAGCTTTCATCTGGATTCACCTGGTCAGTCTATGTCATGGAAAGAGCAGGTGTTCTTAATGTTTTATATACTCAGTGTAGTTTACACCAATGGTGTTATGCAATAACACCTCATATGCTTACACCATGAGGTACATATCTCTTGACAAGGTCCCTCCGTGTTGGGTAAAGGACATTACAATATTATTAGTCGAGGTAATTTGTACATGTACTGTAGGCAGGGGTAAAGTGACTATGCATAGATAATAAACAGCGAGTAGCAGCAGTGTAAAAACATTGGGGGGGGGGGGGGGGGGGGGGGGGGGGTGAATGTAAATAGTCCGGGTGGCCATTTGATTAATTGTTCAGCAATCTCATGGCTTGGGGGTAGAAGCTGTTAAGGAGCCTTTTGGACCTAGATAGTTTGTTGGTGATGTGGACACCAAGGAACTTGAAAACCTCGACCCGCTCCACTACAGCCCCTCCTTTTCCTTTTCCTGTAGTCCACGATTAACTTTGAATCTGTCTTGACTGGCTGCTGTGCGGCTCCACACCTACCGTGGTTTGGAGTTTAATATGGAGGAAGAGATTAGACAGAGAACACTATCTCTCTCTCTTTCACTCTCTCTCTCTTCTCTCTCTCTCTCTTTCTCTCAGTCTACCAGGCGAAACCAGTCTGAAACTATGACTGTGCTACGCAGCAGAGCACGAGCAAATGGCTCAGCTTCAAAATGTTAGTGATCAATTTAGTGATACTGGAGCCCTACCCATACCCTAGTTATTGATGAAAAAACAGGCCCATGTATAACGTCGGGGCCTGTCGGGCTCGGGTCGGGTAGCAGAGCTCTATTAGAGGCCCCCCTCTTGGCCGCAGAGACAACATTTTGTGGTTTTAAAGCCTGCAATTCTACACAGTTTGGGGGCGGAAATTACATTTTACAGTTTTAAAGCTAGTTTCCTGCAGTTCTACATATTTTGTCATGGGGCTGAGAGAAGAATTGCATTTTCAAAGCTAATTTCCTCCAATTCTACACATTTTGCCATGGAGCTGAGAGAAAATGTGCCATTTTAAAGCACATTTCCTACAATTCTACATATTTTGCAGTGGTTTATGCTGTGTTCTTATGCTATCTGAGTGGCTCAAACATTATAACAAAATCAATTGCGGCCCCATGCCATGACATATCTTGAATTTTAGATTCTCCTTGACTGTCTAGTTTTTATTTTGGTGATTGTTAGTTCCCAAAAATGTACTTATTAAACAATATATTGCTCCATTATCTTTTCTACATACTTTATATCTGGTTTTAGTCATTTAAGTTTACACTGAAAATGTTTTACCATTATATGATACATTTTTTATTTTGGGGGCAAGGAACAGTTGCATGTGTTGTATTGTAGGAAACCAACTATAGGGTGATTGATTCAATGATTGTAGAGACCATATTGCCATTTTATGCCATGGTTTTATGCCAATTCTCTCTCTTTTGCTTGTGATGGATTGATGTTTAAGATTGAACTTTTTCCCTCTCTTTTTCTTCAGGAGGTAGAAGAGGACATCGTGAACATTGTGGAGGAGAGGAAGGTGGAGAGGGTGATAGAGAAAGTGTCTCAGGTGGATATAAAGAACAAGGTGAGGGAGGTAGAACCCCTGGTGAAGATGGACACACGTTTCTTTGGAGAGCTGCTGGCGGAGGTTTATAGGAAGAACTGTGACATCCACACCTGCATCTCAGAACACGTGGCCAAGATACGTGGACGGTGGGTTTAGCTTTTTTCAGCATAAAGCCTTATTAATGTTTAGGGCATTTATATATAGCTTTGCTTTTTCTCCAGCACCAATCATAAAACATAACATACTAAGAGAGACAATAAGGAAACAAGACAGAAACCAACGGGAGAAAGTACTGTAACTCTATCTCCTACTGAACTGGCCAGAATAGTAGGAAATACTGTAGTGGTGGTTTTGGATGCTGGTTGAGTATTTAAATCATCAGTGTTAGCTCTGGATCTCCTCTTTCCTCAGTTTCACACTTGGTTCAGAAAGTCCCACTTGCTCTAATTCAACTTGTCAGGCTAGGTCATAAAATACTGTATGAGGTTTGAGGCGCAGGTGCTGCTACTCTATGTAACGCATAGCGACTACAGTATTGGAGGAATATAACGCTCCTGGAGCCCTTAAAGAACAGTCTCTAGTAGTCCTAGTCAACACATTTTACATGAACTTTCTAGACTCACTAGCTAGGCTATAAAATACGCTGTGGGATGTAAAACTCCCTAATGTTTTTGGGGATAATCTGCTCAGCAACAATTGTCACTTGTTACCCAGGGAGTCCCGTGATCAGTCTCTAGACATTACAACTGTCAGTCAGACCTCTCCCTTTCTACAGACTCTCTGATTACTCATAGTACCTGTGATTCACTGAGCAAACACACCCCTCTGTTCCCCTATCCTTCTGTCTCCATTTAAACCTGTGTAGAGACACAGCTATGATTTTATAGATCAGTCTGATTAGTGTATGTGTGTGTGCACGCCTCATGCCCTGTCATGTTCTTTAGTGTTTACCTTGCCATCTCTCTTCCAGGAAACACCTCCTGGATCCCAGCAATGACTACAAGGTACAGCAGGGAGGGAGGGGCGGCTTCCATGATGGTTTTACACAATGCATCATATAAGTCTTGTACTGTACTGTTTAAACAGTTATACCATAGCCCTTAGTAACTACATTTTCTCAGTAGGTGCTCAAAATTCTGTTTAGAAGAAAGTAACCATTCGAAACATGAAAGACTAAACGTGTGTGTGTGTGGGTATTTGTCCAGATGGAGAGAGAGGACATCGAGGCCCTGATCCCCAAAGGAGCATCTGAACTGACCAAACAGCAGATCCGCTATTTGCTGCAGGTAACACCTGTTCCTTTTGGCTGTTTAACAGTGTTCTAAACCCCTCTGTCTTTCCCTCTATTAATCACTCTGTCCTGTCACTCTTGTTTTTCTCACGTATGTTCTCTAACCTCCTCCCCCTCTCTCAGACCCGTATGACAGCTGACAAGACAATGCGTCTCCTCCTGACCACCTTCAGCAGTCTGAGAGAGGAGCTGATCCACATGTCAGAGGACCTGAGGGTAAGACCTGGGGCCTGGGCCCCTATAGTAGCCTCTTATGCTCTTTTCTAAACTGTCTCATTGAAATGTACATGCAGGCAGTCTTACTGCATCTGTCTCTGTCTCTGTTAGTGATTTATACACTAGATCAGTGGTTCCCAACCCTTTTCAGTTACTGTACCACCAACAGTTTTTTGCTCTGCCCAGAGTACCCCTGAAGTACCCGCTCATGTGCATTTTGCCAGTAAGCCTATGGTCTCATGGGTCTTCTCAAGTACCCCCTGTGGATAGGCCAAGTACCCCCAGGTGTCCTAGTACCCCTGGTTGGTAACCAATGGCACTAGATGACTGACGGGACGCTGTTTTACAGACACCTTAATGCTTACTTTTAAATTAAATTACATGAGCTAAACATTAAAATGTTAAAATGTATAAAAACATTTTCCTTAAAGTATAATTTTTTAGAAAGTACTAATGTTACTGTCCCCATTACAACAAAGAATACTGAAAAAAATTGAAATGAAAATCCATTCATTCCTATGGAGGACTGCTCCTACTGGGACTGGTGGCTTCAAAGCCTCTCATTGGCCAATACATAGCATCAGCAATCCAGGCTTTATATACATCATTGGTCTCTGTTCTCCCAGCGTCTGGAGAGTGAGAAGGAGACCCTTGAGAGAGACCTAAGCTTCAAGGCTGACCAGGCTGAGCAGTATGACCGCCTCCTAGAGGCTGTACGAGAGAACAACAGACAGCTACAGGTAGGTGTGTGTGTGTGTGTTGGGGGGGAGTTTTTTTGTTTGTTTGTGTGTGTCTTCCACTGTGTGTTGCCTGTGTGTGTTTGCCTGTGTGTACACCTCCTCTGTAGAGTATCTCTGCACTGTATGTTAGTGCAATGGCTGTATATATGTGTGAGTAACTCTGTCCATTCATCCATCCATATAGATATCTCTGAAGGAGAGCAGCTTCAGCCAGCGGACCCTGGAGACTCAGCTCCTGAGCAGCCACAGTACAGACTCAGGCAGGGAGTTCCGCGTCAAAGAACTGGAGGGCAGCTACCGAGCCCTGGAGAAAGAGAACGAGATGCTCAAACAGAAGGTACTCTAACTCTACCCTCCATCTCTGACTCTAGCCTATCTCACGTCAGAGCTAGAATCAACTCTTACCAATTCTTCCTGCTCATGATGATGGAACTATAGTATCCGACTGTAGAATTATTCTCATAGAACCAACTTCCTTAACTAACTTGTCTCTCTCTCTATCTGTTTTCATCCAGCTGGCCGGTCAGTGCGGCAGTAGCACCATTCAGATGAAGACAGAGGAGCTGTCTCGTCAGTACTCGGAGCAGCTAGCTGCCCTGCGCCAGGAGAAGGACAAGGAACTGCAGAGCCTCAGGGTGAGAAGCCTACAGAGAGGCATGGCTACAGGGATGGGCTTTCCTGCACAGATGGAAGTACTGTAGCAGTACTGACTGTGCTTGTGAGCAGAAATATGGGTATGTAGTGGTTATACTGACTGTGTGTGTCTCTGATTGTCTGTCTGTCTTTCCAGACCCAGCTGACACAGATCACCACGGAGTACACCACGGAGAGATCAGGTGACAAGAGCCTGCAGCTTCGCATCACACAGCTGCTGACAACACTGGAGCAGCGGGAGGTCGTCATCAAACGTCAGGAAGAGGTCAGGGGTCAAAGCTACTGGTCACTGGTCAGCCTTTAGGCACAGATCTAGGATCAGTTCTTGGAAATGCCTACACCTGTTATTGGAATAAACTCAAACAAGATTTGTATGTATTGCCTGAATTAAACCCCCTAAAGAGAACCAAACTAACTCAACAGGTTTGGATTAGAAAAAGCCCCTGCTTCTAGGGTCTTTCATCTAGTTTTTTCCCATAATCAAGTTATTGGTTTTGGTCAGGCCAGTCTGACTACATTGTCTCACACTGCTTGTGTTAATGTGGCTCTGAAGATTCTTTTCATTTCACCTTAGGAATGTGTTTACCTGACACGGTTGTACACCTTTAGCTACATCATTAACACCTGTTTTACGGCACAGGCCTACTTCCTCCTCCCTTCTTATCCACCTCTGACCTCCCATCTCTGACCTCTGATCTTTAACCATCAGGAGATCTGGCAACTGCAGCAGAAGAAGAGTGACAGCTCCAAGAACGTCACCACGACCACTATCACCAAAAGGTCAGCCCCCCACCTCACCATGAGCCTGTTTTATGGGGAATATTTGGAAGAAACTCCCCTAAAATGGGTTAATGTAATTTAAGGTGCCTAGTATGGTTTTTCCCAAAACAGGATTTTGTACTGGCATACAGTATGTACATAACCAACCAGTATGCGGTCCTTACTGTTTATAACTGATGTGTAGGTACAGGAACCAGTACCCCCTCCTGGGCCTGCTGAGTGATGAATTCCAATCCACATTGCCCGTCAAGGATGCCAAGACCGTCGTCATCGAGAGCCGGACGGGGGAGATTATCAAACAGGTAGAGTAGAGCAGGGAGGAAGTAGAAGCTAGATGGCATTCTAGAATGGACAAACTATAGTATAGCTATACAGTCAGAACTAATGAGGAAGAACATCAGTTATTGTTCTCAGTTTAGAGTTTGAAGTGAGTTGTAAGATTAGGGTAAGGATTAAGGTTAGGGTAAGGATTAAGGTTAGGGTAAGGATTAAGGTTAGGGTAAGGATTAAGGTTAGGGTAAGTGGTTAAAAGTAAAACATGATTAGTGATTAGAAAGGGCCATTCATCTGTCCATTCTGACATGCCCAAATAGTGTTAAACATGTGTGTACTGCCATGGGGACCCAGAAGGGAGAGAGCTTGGGTTCCTTACTGGGCTTTTACTATCTGGCCCTGTCAGAAGCTGGGCCAGGGGTCACTGTGTGAGGAGGGATGATGAGAGGCTGATGGATGGATGGAGGCAGTTCCCTCTGTGGTCCTGGAGAGCTAGGCGCTGATGGCATGGAGAGACCATGTTCAATTCTGCCTCTGTCTGTTAGTAGTAAAATAAATGTATGTTCTCCCAACTCTACTAAATTCCACATCGGGGTTGCATGTTTAATTGGACAGGCATCCTTGTTTGTGAGAAGCATGCAAGAGTTAGTGATTGAGTTGGAATGGATATAGGGTGACAGCACTGACTTTTCCTGGGATTGGAGATCCACTGTTAGTCTTAGTGCTCTTATGACATCTGAACCAAAGCTGTCATTAGCACACTAGTCAAAATAACAACATCATTCAGAGGGTTAGAGGAGATCAAGCTTTTTGTCTTTCCAAGGCAGAATGAAAGAGTTGTGTGGCAGATTTACACTGAGTGAGAAACAGCGAGAAACAAGGGTCTAATCTGAGGGATTAGTCCTTCACGCCATAACGACCGTATCCGTGTTCTGTTTATTTTGAAACAGGAAATCATTACAACCCCTTAAAGACACTGCTTCTCTCTGCTCTGCACAGGAATGAACGACAAGAAGACCCTGACGTCCCCCCCCCCCCCCCCCCCCCCCCCCCCCGCATGCTGCTGCCTCCCCCTCCCTCTTCCTCAGGGCTCCCAGGGTGGTGGTGGTGGTAGGTTCAACACCCTATATTTGGGATGAGTGGTTTTCACCAAATGGGGTTTGCTTAGATGGGAGGCTTCACTTTGGTTGGGATGGGGGGCACCAAATACTCAACAACCAAATATGTTATAGTAGAAGCTTATGCTACAGCAAGGAGGGCTGGGGAGGGGACAGGGAAGAGGGGGCTGGTGCTTATTAGTGTGCAGCTATCTAGTCCTCTGTCCTCAATGGAGCCACCACTACCCTGTTAGTCTTTGGGACAACTCCTCTAAAGGCGTTATGGTGATAGTATGGTTACTTTGCATGTAAATAAGGAAGCTAAATATTATTTAATTATCCGCCAATTAAAGAGACTGTATGTTGAAATTCGCTTTGGCAGACATTTAATAAAAATGGCCACCTCTGTTCTGGTCTTGCTATTCTTTTGTGGCAAGGTAATGGTCCATAGCTGTGATATGTTTTAGATGCATTTTGTTTCATGTTTATACCTTAAGAGGTACATGGGTATGTTCTGATTTGTTTTGAATGAGGGGTTATTTGAATGGAATGCAGCGCTTGGGTTTGGGGGTTGGAGTGGGTGTATGAGAATATGAATGACTGGGTTGGATATGGACTGGTGCATGGTTCTATGGGTAATATACGATGGTGGATGACCTGGTCATTTTATAAACACTGTATGGAGTACTATGTTTTTCCTTTGGATTGTTATCTGCTGAAGTTCTCTTTCCTATGCTCTCCCATTTAAAGTCAACCTGTTATTTTCTATTTAGGCCTTAACCTCTGCTTTTTGGAACTGTGATTAAAATGTCAAATTTAATGTCACTTGTCTTATTTTTGGGGGGGGTGTTTTCTTCCACCTATGAAACGGCAATAATAAGGCCTAGGGCACAAGTAGAGCGCCACTGTCAGTGTGCAGTTACCTTCTCGTGGCAGCAGAGGGGGCCAGTGGCCTCTAGTTGTGCCTCAGAGTGACAGGGAGTGATATGGAGCAGCCTCTCTCTGCTCTACTCAGTAAATGAGGTCATGATATCTCTGTAGGGCTTGGCTCAGGCAGACTGTCAACAATTTCACTGTTCCATTCACTGGATTCTCTGTCTGACGATGCACACATGCCCTGTGATCTATATATCCTTGGTAATGGTAGTAGTACATTATTAACAGTCAAATAAGTAATAGTATTAGTTGTGTTGTTAGTGTGTGAGAGATACTTTTGTGACACATTTCTTGACTGAACCATTTCCGTAGCCCGTTTTATGCATGCTTCATGAATTAGTGATGAGGCGTGGTGCTGGTCTCTGGTAGGTCCTCCACTGCTCCCTTCAGGAGAGTAAGGTCAGGAGGGAAGCTACGACTCCTTAAGGAAAATACTGTCTCATTCATAAAGTTAGGGATTATCTGTGCCTCTGCTATCTTTTTTTTTAAATCTTTTTTTTTTTTTTTTTGTCATTTAGCAGACGCTCTTATCCAGAGTGACTTACAGGAGCAATTAGGGTTAAGTGCCTTGCTCAAGGGCACATCGACAGATTTTTCACCTAGTCGGCTCGGGGATTAGAACCAGCGACCTTTCGGTTACTGGCACTGGGCTCTTAACCACTAAGCTACCTGCCGCCCTATCTGATTGGCCTACCTACCTGGCCTCCTGATTGCCTGGCTATCCAACTCCTTGCTCTGGACAAACGCTACACCACACCCATGGATGTTAGTGTCCTCTCCGCAATGAGTCTGGATCTGAGTACATCGCAGACCCTCCACCGAATGCGAACACATTCGGGCCATCTGATTGGTCCAGAAACTGATGGGTTGGGCCAGAGCCAGAACACACGTGGGTAAAGCGGCAGTTTGAAAAATCATAATTGGCATTGATACTCAGTTAAGAGACGATCCAATTGCTTTACGACTTTGTTTTGTACGACAACCCTTGTGCCCCTCATCAACACAAACGACTTCAATGATGGCAGTCTCAGACTAAAGTCTGTAGCGAACGGCAGAGCAGCATCGTCAGACTAGCCTCCTTGTACCTGTATATCACGTCCTTATAAGTTATGACACACACAAGCAAGCACACACGCACAGTTGCAAGCATGCACACTCTATTGCGTCGATATAATCACGATAGTGATTTGATTTTGATTTGTAGCAGTATCATTCTTAGTTTCCCCTCTCGCAATCCCTCTCTCTCTCTTTCTCCACATCTCTATCAACCTCACTTCCTCTCTCCCTCCCACTGAATGGTCTGCTGTAGCTCTGAGTAAGGGATGCGTGGGCTAGTGTGTGTGAGGCTGAGAGTTGGATGGGTGAGGAGAGAGAGAGATGGTGGGGGCTGGGGATAATGGGGAAGCATTGATTATGGCTGATAATTCAGGGCTTTGATGTGGATAATGCAGTCTCTCTCTTCCTGCACTGCCTGTGCACTCAAAGCCCCTGGGGCCACAGAGGATATTGGGTTTACACTCTCTCTCTCTCTCTTTCTCTCTATCAGTGTCTCTTTCTCTCTCGCTCTCTGTATTTGATAGAGCAAAAGAGAGAGCATGCACGCACATGTAGTGTGTGTAAGTGAGTGATTGTGTAATTGTGTGTTTGTACGGTACTACCACAAAACTGTTTGTGTGTGTCTAAACTCACAGGGGTTTTTCGAGTGTGAATTATGTTTAGCATGTTTACCATATCTGTCTTTGTCTGCCGGAGTTCCTTAAGTTCCTCAATTATGTTGTGTCTATACATGTGAAGTTGCCTATTCAGATTTTAGTTTTCATTGTTTTTCACTGTCTCTTTCCATCCATAACCCAAACCGGACTCTGTCTCTCCTTCTATCCTAACACAAACCATACTCTCTCTCTTTCCACTCTTACTATGTACACTCACAGGGCCCTACACACTCACACACACACTCACTCCATCATCTGCTCACTCACACATGATATGCACATACATTTATACTGACTCTACACACACGCACACCCACTCACGTACAGGCTGCTGCTACTCTGTTTATCTTATATCCTGTTGTTGCCTAGTCACCTTAGCCCTATACATAGAGTCGTGGTCAAAAGTTTTGAGAATGACACAAGTATTGGTCTTCGCAAAGTTTGCTGCTTCAGTGTTTTTAGATATTTTTGTCAGATGTTACTATGGTATACTGAAGTATAATTACAAGCATTCCATAAGTGTCAAAGGCTTTTATTGACAATTACATTACATTTATGCAAAGAGTCAATATTTGCAGTGTTGACCCTTCTTTTTCAAGACCTCTGCAATCCGCCCTGGCATGCTCTCAATTAACTTCTGGGCCACATCCTGACTGATGGCAGCCCATTCTTGCATAATCAATGCTTGGAGTTTGTCAGAATTAGTGGGTTTTTGTTTGTCCACCCGCCTCTTGAGGATTGACCACAAGTTCTCAATGGGATTAAGGTCTGGGGAGTTTCCTGGCCATGGACCCAAAATGTCGATGTTTTGTTCCCCGAGCCACTTAGTTATCACTTTTGCCTTATGCCAAGGTGCTCCATCATGCTGGAAAAGACATTGGTCGTCACCAAACTGTTCTTGGATGGTTGGGAGAAGTTGCTCTCGGAGGATGTGTTGGTACCATTCTTTATTCATGGCTGTGTTCTTAGGCAAAATTGTGAGTGAGCCCACTCCCTTGGCTGAGAAGCAACCCCACACATTAATGGTCTCAGGATGCTTTACTGTTGGCATGGCACAGGACTGATGGTAGCGCTCACCTTGTCTTCTCCGGACAAGCTTTTTTCCGGATGCCCCAAACAATCGGAAAGGGGATTCATCAGACAAAATGACTTTACCCCAGTCCTCAGCAGTCCAATCCCTGTACCTTTTGCAGAATATCAGTCTGTCCCTGATGTTTTTCCTGGAGAGAAGTGGCTTCCTTGCTGCCCTTCTTGACACCAGGCCATCCTCCAAAAGTCTTCGCCTCACTGTGCATGTAGATGCACTCACACCTGCCTGCTGCCATTCCTGAGCAAGCTCTGCACTGGTGGTGCCCCGATCCCGCAGCTGAATCAACTTTAGGAGACGGTCCTGGCGCTTGCTGGACTTTCTTGGGCGCCCTGAAGCCTTCTTCACAATAATTGAACCTCTCTCCTTGAAGTTCTTGATGATCCGATAAATTGTTGATTTAGGTGCAATCTTACTAGCAGCAATATCCTTGTCTGTGAAGCCCTTTTTGTGCAAAGCAATGATGAAGGCACGTGTTTCCTTATAGGTAACCATGGTTAACAGAGGAAGAACAATGATTTCAAGCACCACCCTCCTTTTAAAGCTTCCAGTCTGTTATTCTAACTCAATCAGCATGACAGAGTGATCTCCAGCCTTGTCCTCGTCAACACTCTCATCTGTGTTAACGAGAGAATCACTGACATGATCTCAGCTGGTCCTTTTGTGGCAGGGCTGAAATGCAGTGGAAAGGTTTTTTGGGGATTAAGTTCATTTTCATGGCAAAGAGGGACTTTGCAATCAATTGCAATTAATCTGATCACTCTTCATAACATTCTGGAGTATATGCAAATTGCCATCATAAAAACTGAGGCAGCAGACTTTGTGAAAATTAATATTTGTGTCATTCTCAAAACTTTTGACCACGACTGTACAGTTGAAGTCGGAAGTTTACATACACCTTAGCAAAATACATTTAAACTCAGTTTTTCACAATTCCTGACATTTAAACCTAGTAAAAATTCCCTGTCTTAGGTCAGTTAGGATCACCACTTTATTTTAAGAATGTGAAATGTCCGAATAATAGTAGAGAGAATGATTTATTTCAGCTTTTATTTCTTTCATCACATTCCCAGTGGGTCAGAAGTTTACATACACTCAATTAGTATTTGGTAGCATTGCCTTTACATTGTTTAACTTGGGTCAAACATTTCGGGTAGCCTTCCACAAGCTTCCCACAATAAGTTGGGTGAATTTTGGCCCATTCCTCCTGACAGAGCTGGTGTAACTGAGTCAGGTTTGTAGGTCTACTTGCTCGCACACGCTTGCAAGCCGAAGA